CCGCCCGAAACGTCAGCCTTCCTGCTCCTCTGATGCTGCTTGGCCTGCTGTGTTCATCCAGCTGTACACCTTGTTATCTCAAATTCTCCAGCATCTGCAGTTCCTACTATCTCTTTAGTCAACACTGTTACCTTCCTACTTATTATCTATCCTATGTTTGCTGAACACCTTGTAATACGAATATTTCATGCTTAGTCCTGCCTTATGTTGAACTAAATCTGTTATTGCCACCATTATTAGACAATGATATCAAGGGATATGGGCAATGGGCAGGCATATAGCCACAGATCAGCCATGATCTTATTGAATGGTGCTCAGGCTCCGGGGCGGAATGGCCAAATTCTGTTCTTATATTCCTAGCTGCCCAAACAGCATCAATAGCACACCCACCATGGGCAAGTTCCTAGGAGACAGAAAGGACTGCAGATGCTGGAAGCCAGAGTCAGTAAATGTGGAGCTGGAAAAACACAACGGGCCAGACTGCATCGGAGGAGCAGAGAAGTCAACGTTTCGGGCCGAAACCCTTCGGACAATTTCCACATTTTTAAATGATTTTCACCTCTAGTGGTGGTTGTTAACCTTGCATGATGTAGTTGTGGTGATCTGGCTAGGCACTGCGTGATATCGGACAGTATGCAGCAGATATTGGGGAAGGTGGGCGGGGAAGAGAGAGGTTATGGTCGGCCAGCTGCAGTGGATGAACTCCGGCCCGTTTGACGGTCGGCCAGCTGCAGTGGGTGAACTCCTGGGTTGTCGGTCTGGTGTGTGATGGCGGGCGAGCTGACGGTGGGCTTCATTGGAGCCGGGAAAATGGCCCTCGGCATCGCCAGCGGCCTCCTGCTGTCAGGTAAAGAGAAACGGCACGGTCCTCAGGGATAACAAGGTGTAGAGCTGGATGAACACAGCAGGCGAAGCAGCATCATAGGAGCAGGAAGGCTGACGTTTCGGGCCGAGACCCTTCATCAGAAAAAGGTCCTCAGGGAGCAGCTCAGACATGGACAAACTCTGCAGAAGCTTTAATCCTGAGAGAGGAGGGTTGGGGAGGGAGAAAGAGGGATGGAGCGGGCGGGGAGA